ACAAACACTTGCTTGGGGCAATGATCTCTGCTTCTCACCATCCTCAGTTCCCCTCCTTGTTTTGCAAGAGAAGAAAACAGGTAGTTGGACTAGATGATGATTGTAGGTCCCTTTCAACTGAAAATATTTTCCTTTCCCTTCCTGTCCCTTCCCTTCTTGCAGCCTCTGCCATGGCAAGCAGGAGGGGAAACCATGCCTGCAATGCACGAGTCGCCCTGCAGTCGGTGGGAGAGAACAGCCACGCTTTAGTTGGGATATATTTTAAGCTGTCCTAAAGGAGGACTACCACTAGAAAAGTAATCACAAAGGAAGGAACCAAGTACGAGTGACTTTCTGTACAGGTTGGCAGCAAGCCAACCTGCACAGACTCAGGTGCCAAAACCTGTGCAGCCGTAGCAGCTGCTATCCCTTCCCCTCAGCATCAGTTCTGGGAAGCCAAACACACGAGTCAACTGTTTCTCTTGATGCAGTTGTGTTTACTTAAAGAGAACATGCTTGTTCCTTTTACCTTGGACACAGCAGGGACAAACACCACCAGGCACATTGCTTACTCACGATTTCTCAACCTACTGTTCCAGGAGATTTCTGTCTGCTCACTCAGCAGGGCCACCCTCCAAAATCTTGCCCCTTGCCACATGCAGGGTGCAGGGGGGTCCCTGCGTAGAACAGGGCACGCTGGGGCAGAGGGCTGTGGTGTGTCGGGGATAGGGTTTCACTGACCACCAGGCAAGGATGTAACAAACGACAGCTGGGTGTGCTGGGGTATTATTTTTAGTTCCTAAGTAAATATTTAGCTTAAGAAGTTGTCTGTGTGCTCTGGGAAATTGTTTTATCATGAGACAGTTTACAGTCCCTGTCCAGCCGTGCCCTGCAGGTTGCAGAGTGCCTGCGGATGGGCTCAGCCCACTGCAGAGCTGGCATTTCACAGGAGAAAACATCACTGTGCTAGAGCAAGACCAGGGTCCCTCATCCTCCAAACCCCCTTGGGACTCTGGATTTCAAGTCAGCATTGGAGCCATTGGATAACAGTGGAGCAGGGTTAGGACATGTGCCATTCCTTCCCTATCAGCTGCGCTCCCTTTGCAATCAGGTGATTTTTGTGCCCACTCATCCCACAGACTCATCTGGACTCAAAGCACAAGCTGTTCCTTCTCCTTCATGAATCCACAACGATAATATGGCCCTGTGTGCCAAATTAGCCTCTTGACAATGGCTGGGTAACTGCCTTGGATCCAGCCCCTCCACAGCCTGTGGCTGGAGGGCACGTGGTGAGTGGCTCCCAGCACACACGGAGGGGCAGAAGCCAGCGCTCCTGCCCAGCTTGCACCTCCTGTGGCATCAGAGCCCCCGGCGGGGAGGTGTTTCCACTGTGGAGAGAGCAATGCTTGAAGGCAGGAGTGGGGCTGCGGAGCCTTGCTTCCCTCCACCAAAGGAGCGTGCGCCGAGGAAAGCCAGCGAACCTGTGGGAAGCCTAAACCGTGATCTCACCTTCCCAAAGTGTTTACAGCTGCCATTTGCAAGTAGCAAACCTTCCTTATTGTACTCCCTAAATCAAGTAGTGCTAATTGCACAAAACTGTAAAGATCTGCATGACAATCACTGCATTAACTGCAGCGTGCCTGAAATATTGAGGTTTATGCTGGAAAATACAGCAATTGCACTGAGTGACTCAGGGAGGTCAAGGCTGCAGGTGGAAGATGGGTGCACGGCCTCAAGGAAACTTTTCGCTACATACCTCACGGTGCAATCTGGTGCACTCTAGAAGTAAAAAAGAGACTCCAGATTCTTACTCTTCAGGAGTGCTGTGGAGCATCAGTAATAAGTCATCTTTGGCAGGCATATGTCAACAGTATCCAGGGAGGGGAGAACTTCATCTCAGCACAGAAATCATTCCAGTCTGACTTTGGTACAACTCCAGCAAGTCTGAAATATCCATAAGGGCTCTGCTCTCATCCCTTTTCTGATTCATCCTGACCCTGACTTGGGCAAGATACCCAATTTACACTTTTCTGTGTAACACTGGTTTGTAATGCTTATTTGCTTTTATAGCATTTTGCAATTTTAAGGGTTTGGACGTGTACTTGCCCTGCAAAAGGCTGCCTCAGTTACAGCAATTACCTCCCCTGCCCCATTAGTGAAATAGGACCTTGTTACTGGCTAGATGTTATGCTGCAAGCAGGCCACACACAATATGGTTTTAATTAGGTCTGCAGCTTTGAATGGATGGCAATCGTGCTTTGATTTTCTTTCAATTATTTTTAGTGCTTATTAACCAGCTAAATGGCAAAGAAGAAAACCACCACGCACAGACAGTAAAAGCATCTGGAAAGAGAGGGGCTTGCATATCGCTTTGAAAGAAGCCAAAGCTGTCCTTAAGTACCAGTACAAAAGATGGGGGAACACCATGGCAGCAGGAGGGGAGGTGGGCAGGAGCAGGGTGGTGAGCCCAGCAGCCTCATTGTCCAGCCTTGCAGTACACCTCACAGCTCATGACGCAGAAGACCTGCCTGTCATAGCCAAGCAGGATTTTGTGCTTATTTTGGGCTAAGCCTGGCCTGCTGGTTGCTCAGGGTCACAAGCCCAGCACTCAGCCCAGGACCCCAGAGGTGCAGGTGCGCAGCCAAAGGCAGGACATCAAGGGACCAAGTGCTGGACCAGGGGCACAGTGGCATCAGCTCCACTGCAGGAGGCAAACCAGGCTGCTCAGCTGCCCCTGGTGTGCACAGATGGGTGGCCAGACCTGGCTCCCAAGAACAGGAGCCCACCAGCACCCAGAGAATGCCTGATCCCCATCTCATAGCTGAACAGCTCAGTCTCCAAAGCCAGGCCCTGCCACGTTCACACAGTTGAGATTATAGAAGTTGTCAAAGCTTAAAAAAAAATAAAAATAAAAACCTCTGTAGGCAATTAAGGCTGCCCAGAGCCTGTAATGAGCGTGCTGACTACTTCTGCAGACTCTTCGTGCTTCTCTGCATTTCACTGCTAGGATGAACATTTGCTTTAACAGCCAGGGGACCTGTGATGGCAATCACATAAATCATAGAGAAGTGATCCAAGATGGCAGCAGATCAAAAGCATTGGTTGACAAAATCTGCACTGAAGTCAGACATGGTTATTGGTTCAGTTCACCATGGTAATTAATTACCTAGCACTTACCTAATTAACCAGAGCTTTCATCTACTACTCCCAGAGGCCAATAGCAAATGCCAGATTCTGTCCCTCCAGCCAGCTGCCTAAAATATCTTCCAGGGCAATGTCTCATATGGTGTCAGGACAGGCAGCAGGACCAGTTTCTCCAGTCTTCTCCCACTCCTGGAGTACAGGTCACTTGTGTACATCTGTCTCAAACAGCACCACATTGCTGACAAGATGAACCTGGGAAACACTGAGGCAAAGACCATGTGCCCACAGCCTTGCTCGGCATCCTAAAGTTCACTCCATGAGCAGGAGGACCTGGCCTGGTTGGTGCAGCACTGCCTCCATGCTGCTCTTTGGTCTGAGCCACAGACAGGGGCTCTGGCACTGCTGCTTCTTCCCCAGACCCCATACGGCATGCTAAGGCATGCCCCACATCCTACCACATGCTCCATGGCCCTGAGGACAGCAGGCAGTGATGTGTGATGGATCACAGACATTGCACAGTTCCATCACACATGGGGACAGTCACCAAGCACTGCTGTGACACCCAGAGCAGACATCAGGCTGCTGTGTGAAGTCCCTTGTGTCCTTAGAGGGGAGATGTCTGAGAAGTGACCCTGGCTGGGGCACAGTGACACCAAAAACAGCTCCTGAACTGAGGGAGCCGAGGGAAGGGCTGCCCTGGGGAGAGGCCCCAGTGAGCCAGCCTGCACCCCTCCCTCAGCCAGCCAGCCTCCCTGGGACCAGGGCAGGCCTACCACTGGCACCCCTGACCACGGGCTATCCTGAAGGGCTCCTCGGCTGAGAGGAAGTGGGGTGCAGAGAACAAATATCATTGTCTGAACATTGCCAAGAACAAAACCAGCCTCTCCAGGCTGGGACTAGTTGCTCCAGGACCCATTTCTGGGTGGCAGTAGCCTATCTCTGCCCATTGCCGTACCCGGGCACTGCTGTAGTAGTGAGCAGTGCTGCCCTCTGAGGAGCTTAGCCAATGAGAGAAACACATCTATTGCAAGTCACTTTGTAAGTGTGAAGACAGGGATCAGTGGGAACAGGCCACATCCAACTTTTGATGCTTACCTTGTGTTCTCCTTCTCAGATGGTTTTCCGGGCTACCCAAGAGGACCATGACAGTTCAGAACATAAAAAAGTGTCTCAGCCTCCAGCAACCCCACACTCAGATAGGCCGGGGAGGGCTGAGGAGCCAGTATCCCCAGGCCCCTGGGCAGTGTGTCCCCTCTGAGCCCCCTGCCAGGTGACACCACACTGACAGACACCTGGGGCCTGCAAGCACCAGCGAGCACCGGGTGCAATGCAGCTGCTTGCTGGCACGGGGTGATCCGCACCCACACAGAGACCCATGGAACAGCCCCAGCTGCTGCAGCTGCTAGACGTGGTGTTGAGCTGGGGCTGCAGCAGCCACTCCTAATGCACCGTCACTCCTTCACAGAGCCTGTGGAGGTTTGCTGCAGCACTAACCCTTCCTTTGTGCACCTGAGATGAAAGCAGGACGGTTTCCAATTTGCACCGAATGGGGCCGGAGAAAGGCACGGCTTGGGTGTGGGAGTGTCAGCCCAGTCCTCAGGATCCAGGAGAAGCACATCCCAGGGGAGCAGCACCACAGCATCAAACTCAAACAAGCCCTTGGCACGACGCTGTGGCTGGAGACAGGCAGGCCTGCACCCCGCTGCGCACGTGTGCCTGACACGTGCCCGGAGCCCCCCGCATGGGCCATCGGGTCACCAGCCCTGGCCTCACCCCGAGCGCGAGCGCGGCAGCGGAGGAGTTGAGGTTGAGGGTGACACACCTGCAAAAACAGCCAATCCACAGCCAGTCACACCTGAGGGGGCAAAGGGGAGCGGGCAGGGGGGGACCAGCCACTGTTGATCTTGGGAGCCAAACAAAGACAGAGAAGGTATTTAACCCCCTGGAGAGCCCTTAAAACCTCTTCTGAGCTCCAAACCCCAACAGCTGAGGAAATAGCAGGGTGTTTTCCTTACCTTTTCTGCAGAGTATTGCTTTCAGCTGACTCTGGTAGAGCCGCTATGACTGAAACAACAGTTTACTCCGGGTGAGTAACCAGGGAAGGTTTGAATTTGTTTTAATAAGACAAGAAAAATGTTCTCTGGGTTTTGTTTCAGCCTTATTTATAAAACTGACCCATATTGTTACTTGGTTGCTTTCCCTCTATTAAAGCAGGTGGGAAGGGAAGGCAAACTGGCCTCCTGCTGCCTGCAGAATCTGAATTTAATTTGCACTTGTACTGCTAGGCAGTTATTTAGGACAATAGAAATATAAAATCCCGATTTGCTAAGAGCTTAATAAGCTGTCACACACAAAATAGCACAGTACATTACCTGCTAGGTATTTCTGGCAGAATTATATGATAGAAAGCTAAGGTTGCCATTGACAAAATTGATTATAAATACAGAGAAACATTTTTGCCAAATACACAGACATAATAAAAGAGATGTTCAAGGGGTTACTAATAGCAGAAAGGCAGCCACCCTGGATGCCATGCAGAGCTGGCTTGTCCCTGTCCCATCCTCACCCTAACACCAGGGCCCTGCATACCTCTTGCAGAGCTCCCAAGCCACCCCATGCCCCATCCTCCCCTGTCCCCATTCCTGTGGGCACTGCTTGGTGCCCCTGACCCATCTTTGCCCTATCTCCCTGCAGCAGTGGGCTTGTCCATATTAAAAACCCACACTTGGACTCGATGGAGGAGGACATTCTGTATCACTTGGACTTGGGAACCAAGACGCACAACCTGCCAGCAATGTTTGGGGACATAAAGGTAAATAGCAGGTGAAAGAGTGAGGTGGCAGCTCCCAACCCCTCATCTCACACCTCTGCTGTTCCATCCTTGGGCCTCCTGCCTTGGATGCTTTTGCTGGGGACAGGGTTCAGCTGCTCAGCAAAGGGACTCAGGGCAGCCGGGGCAGAGAGGTCATCTGCCCTTGCTTGTTCTGGGCAGAAATCCCAATAGAAAATTATCCTTTTAGAAACCTGTTCAGTTCCATAGAACTGGTTTTATATTGGCCCCCATATTGGAGGACAGATGGAGGAAGCATTTGTCTAAAGTATCTGTTCATCATCTACTGGAAACAAGAGAAAGAGGATGTTGTATTTTTGGCCGAGACCTGCTGTCAAAACCAGCCTGTCACGACTGCCTCCTCCTCCATTTTAAATTGGAGCATTTCCCCAGCAGCACAGGGGAAGAGCTGTGGTGCCTCAGGGCTTCAGCAGCCCTGCCATGCAGGGGTTCCCACTTCCCTGCACCGCTGGCAGCCAGATCAGCATCGGTGCCCTTCAGCTGCATGTTGGTCTCCCTCCTGTGTTCAGGGAGAATTTTATCCTTTAATATGTAAAATTTGTCCTTTTTCCCCCTGACTTTATGGCCTCTCTGTCATCAGCAGTACTCACTAATTGCAGCCCACACTTGTTGATGGAATAAATTAAATGACGAGCTACTCTAACATCTGGGTTTGCTTTGCAATCAGTAGGAACACTAACAGCTTAAATTTGCTAAAATAGTTTAGATTTATCTAAGTACGTGCAGCTGTACAGGTGTCTGGACCTAGCATAGTCACAACCCTAAAGGAGTAATAGCTTGGGTATAGTCTTAACTCTTGGTTTTGAGACCCTCAGTTGTTGTAATGTCCCCTGGCTACCTGTGAGGAAGCAGCATCCTGCTGTGCTCCATGGGGAGATGTGTCTGGCACAGCCTGCCACTGCCAAATTAAAACTGAATCTTGGTACCTATTTTAGCTAAGAAATACCAACACATTCATGTTTTACATCCAGTTTGTCTGCGTTGGTGGCAGCCCAAACAGGATGAGGGCATTTGCCCAGCTCATGCACAAGGAGCTGGGACAGGCGGGCGATGGGGAGGACCTGGCAGACATCTGCGCAGGGACGGATCGCTATGCCATGTACCGAGCTGGGCCAGTGCTCTCCATTAGCGTAAGTACCACACTGTGCTGCACTGCACTGCAGGTGCTTTCCATCCCAGGCACTCATGACAGCCCCTGCCCTGGGCCCGCTGCTGCTGTCATGGTCCTGCAGCAGGCTGGCATGGGGCTCTCTCTTCCCTGCAGCAGGGAGGGTGGCTAGCATGACCCTTCCCTCTCCATTTCCCGCAACTCCTGCCAGCAGATTTTTCAATTCTTTTCAGTTTCAGCCATTATCACCAGTACAACCTTCCAGCCATGGTAAAGCTTCTTCTGTCTGAATGATATTTCTTGGCACCCTACATGTTCAGTTTGAAAAGCATTGCAGTAAAAATGAACATGCAAGTGTTTTGTTCAGCTCAGCAGCCTGGCAGTTTGAGAGGCAAAGACCACTTCCCACCATGCATGAAGTATGAAATATTGCTGGAAGTATTACACTGATATGAGCTCTAAAGTTAAAGCCTTGCTTTATTATTAATTATTCTCTAAGAGAAGAATTTTTTGCACCACACAAAATAAAAAGCAAATACAGGCTATGCTGGTGAGTGCTTATGCCCCAGGGATTGTCCTGCCATCATTGCTTCAGGCACAAGATTAGTCTTGAATCTGATTCACAGGAGGCAGCGTCACTCACGTGACAGAGCTCACGTTTGGTCTCTCTGACAAAACATAACCAAACGTGATCGATGGAAACGCCTCAGGGAATCAATCTGACAGGATCTCAGGGGAAAAAGAACCCACAAGTTTTGCTATTCCCCTCTCTGGCAGCAGCTGTGACACAGCTAGAGGAAAAGCCTATGCTTGAGCTTTTGGCCGTGCACCAGTTTTGTGCCAATGCGGAAGCCATCCACCGCTGTGAGGGGATGCCGGGCAGAGCATACAGCAAGCCTCCCCCAAAACGCTTCATGCAGAGCAGCTGCCAACATCACACTTTCGTAAGTTGCTTAGAAACACAAATGAACTCAAACCAGAGGGAGGAGCACAGTTTCCTGCTTTGAATATTTACAATGAGAATAATTTTTTTAGGTATTGGCAAATAAGTCAGGCCGATGTTCCAGAATGGCAACATGCAAAAAGTTTTCATATTTAAAACATGATACAAGCCTAATAGACCGTCAGTCTCACAGCCAAATGAAAAGAGACAAAGCAATGTGAAAACTGACTGCATACGCTAACTGTGCTTCTTTATACATGGTTCCTTCCGGATTTTGAACAGCATAGCAAAACCAAAAAAATGTGAGGCATTTTTTCAGGAGAAAAAACAAATCCCACACCACCAAACCCCTTTTGTTTCTAAAAGTAAAGTTGAGGAAAGCACATCGGTTGAGTGATGAAGCAGAAAACTAAGATGATCAAGTGCAGCAGCGCTGAGCAGAAAGCAGAAGCAGCCTCGACAGCTCCAGATTTGCCTGGCAGAGCGGCAGCGGAGATGGGGCAGCAAGGCACGATAAGCTGTGGGAGAGGATGGGGAACGGGCTGGTGCCAGTGGAAGGGAGAGTCTACAGGCAGTCGTAGTGTCCCCAGGGTGGGTGATGTGAGCCACGAAGCAGGGCAGGTGGCCTACAAGGCTCAAGGCTTCATGTGGCAAATGTCTGACCCCGAAACCAGTCCTCAGCGAGAGGCACAAACCCATCTCCTGTCCTTCATACACAGCAACATGGGCAGAGGTGCTCCGGTGTGGGGTGAGGACAGGTTGGGAGGCACCCAGAGAAGCAGAGGCTCAAGTTTTCCTCACTGAAATTCACCACTCCAAGAGTACAGGCAGTACACAACAAAGAACGGACGTCAGCATGTGGCATAAGGATGGGCACCAGAAGGAAAGACCTTGGAACATTCAGACATCCAGATGCGCTTGTGGTAAGACCTTTCTCGAAGGAGAGACATCATCTGCGTGCCTGGTGTACTGGTGCCCCGGCATGAATACCAACTCTATTGATAAGAAGAGCCTTAAAAGCATCAAGGGGAGGAGACAAGGGTTAGACTTTTGACCTGAACAGGTTACAAAGACCCTGAGATGTCTCAAAAAATTGGCATCATCAGTGGAAAGAGGCCACAGCATAACCCTGAGCTCACTGCAGTCACATACCTGTCACCTGCCACAGTATCGCAGGGAATGACGTTTTTCATTTCTCTCTTCCCAACAGCATGGGATGGGCATCCCTTCCATTTCCATCATGCTTCATGAACTAATTAAACTTCTGCACCACGCAAAATGCCGAGATGTTACTATTATACGCATTGGTACTTCTGGAGGTTTAGGTAAGCTACCATGGTCTTTCTTCAGAGAAAAATAGGCTGCTACTAAAAAAAAAATCTCAGCAATAGGTCATGCAGTTATGAGCTATAGAACTTTGTCAGGTCCCCAAGTACCAAACAACATGATATTTTGTTTTGGGTTAAAACCCAGCAAACTTCTAGTGACTGGCTTAGCAGAGTGCATATTTTTATAATGAACAAAGGCTTTGCATTCTAAACAACTGGATATCACTTTTCAAACTGGAAACACTTGACTGGAAGGTGCCCACTAGACCTGTTGTTTGTGAACAGAGAAGCACTTGCGGGTGATGTGGTGGTTGGAGGCCATCTTGGGCACAGTGATTGTGAGTAACAGGTAGTTTTCAGTTCTTGCAGAAGTAAGGAGGGGGTCAGCTGAACTGCTGAGTTAGACTTGTAAAGAACAGACTTCAGCCTGTTTAGCAGACTGGTTGGCAGAGTGCCTTTGGTGGAAGTCCTGAAGGGCAAAGGAGTCCCGGAAGGCTGGACATTCCTCAGAAAGGAAATCAAGGTACAGGGGCAGGCCATCCCCATAAAGACGAGCCAGCAGGAAAGCCCAGCCTGGATGAACAGATGAGCAGAGAGCTTGGGCTGGAACTCAGGAAAAATTAAAAAAGTTTTATGACCTTTGGAAGAAGGGGCACCTGCCCACAGAACTACAATGATGTTGTGAAGATATGATGTTATCCTGGCTTGTATCAGCAATAGCATAGCCAGGTAGGACTAGGGAAGGAATCTTCCCCTTGTAATCAGCACTGGTGAGGCTGCACCTCAAATCCTGTGTTTGGTTTTGGGCCCCTCACTCCAAGAAAGACATTGAGGTGCTGAAGCGTGTCCAGAGAAGGGCAATGGGGTGAGGGGTCTGGAATACAAGTACCATGAGGAGCAGCTGACAGAACTGGGGTGGTTTAGCCTGGAGAAGAGAAGGCTCAGGGGGACCTTCTTGCTCTCTACAACTACCTGAAAGGAGGTTGTAGTGAGATGGGAGTCAATCTCTTCTACCAAGTAACAAGTGATAGGATGAGAGGAAACAGGCTCAAGTTGTGCCAGGGGAGATTTGATTTGATACGAGGAAAAATGTTTTCACCACAAGGGTTGTCCAGCAACCTGGAATGGAACAGGCTGCCCAGGAAAGTGGTGGAGTCACCATCCCTGGGGGTACTTAAAAGACATGTAGACGTGCCGCTTGGGACATGTAGTGGACTTGGCACTGCTGGGTCAACAGTTGAACTTGATGACCTTAAAGGTCTTTTCCAACCTAAATAATTCTATGTTCAACATCTTCGTCGGTGACATGGACAGTGGGATTGAGTGCTCCCTCAGCAAGTTTGCCGATGACACCAAGCTGTGTGGTTCGGTTGATACGCTGGAGGGAAGGAATGCCATCCAGAAGGACCTTGACACGCTTGTGAGGTGGGCTGATGCCAACCTCATGAAGTTTAACCCTGCCAAGTGCAAGGTCCTACACCTGGGTCAGAGCAATCCCAGGCACAGCTACAGGTTGGGCAGAGAAGAGATTCAGAGCAGCCCTGTGGAGAAGGACTTGGGGGTGCTGGTCGATGAGAAAATGAACATGAGCCGGCTTCAGTGTGCGCTTGCAGCCCAGAAAGCCAACTGTATCCTGGGCTGCATCAAAAGGAGCGTGACCAGCAGGTCAAAGGAGGTGATCCTGCCCCTCTGCTCTGCTCTCGTGAGACCTCACCTGGAGTATTGTGTGCAGTTCTGGTGTCTTCACCATAAAAAGGACATGGAACTGTTGGAACAAGTCCAGAGGAGGGCCATGAGGATCATCAGGGGACTGGAGCACCTTCCGTGTGAAGATAGGCTGAGAAAGTTGGGGCTGTTCAGCCTGGAGAAGAGAAGGCTGTATGGAGACCTCATAGCAGCCTTCCAGTATCTAAAGGGGGCCTATAGGGATGCTTGGGAGGGACTCTTCATTAGGGACTGTAGTGATAGGACAAGGGGTAATGGGTTAAAACTTAAACAGGGGAAGTTTAGATTGGATATAAGGAGGAAGCTCTTTACTGTAAGGGTGGTGAGGCACTGGAATGGGTTGCCTAAGGAGGTTGTGAATGCTCCATCCCTGGTGGTGTTTAAGGCCAGGTTGGACAGAGCCTTGGGTGACATGGTTTAGTGTGAGGTGTCCCTGCCCATGGCAGGGGGGCTGGAACTAGATGATCTTAAGGTCCTTTCCAACCCTAACTATTCGATGATTCTATGCTCCTATGACCCCCAGCCAGGGTAGTAGTGCTGCTTGTGCCTGCAGAAGCTAGTGGTGGGCCATGATCGCCACAAGCCAGAAGCAATTAAAATGCTGTTGCTCAGCACGTTCCCACAATTCCTTATCTTGTGCTGATTCTGTACATTTTACTTGTACATCTGTGCTACTGCATGAATTCAATTATTCTCTCACATCTGTTTTACTAAAAAGAACAACCCCACAGTCACTCATACATCTATAGAGATTTTCCTGTCATGGTGAATTTTCGCAGCAGTCACAAGTGTTACGAGCATTGGCTTAGCCTCAGCCTTTGTTTTCACAGGCATCAAGCCAGGGACTGTTGTGATCACAGACACAGCAGTGGACTCCTCCTTCAAGCCACGGTTTGAGCAGGTGGTCCTGGATGATGTGGTGGTGCGGAGCACAGAGTTAGACAAGGACCTTGCAAAGGAGCTTCTTGCCTGCAGCAAGGATGTTCCTGACTTCCCTACACTCATCGGCCATACCATGTGCACCTATGACTTCTATGAAGGTAAAATAACCTTTGCCTGTTCTTCCTCCCCACAGACATAATGCCAAGTCTTATGTTCTTCTGTAGGCAAAACTATTCACACCTTCAAAGTCTAAGAAGGGCTGCAGGAGCAGACCCATCTGCTAATACATTAGAGGTTGTTCAGTGGTCAGAACATGCAATACCAGTTTTGGTGCTGTCTGGGCAAACTGATCTCTTGTGCATCTGACAGTTAAATTTTGTAACGTTACCTGCAAGGCCAGTGTTGCTGTAGCTGATGGTGGATCATGAGCTAAGATCCACCCAGCAGAGGTAGCTCCTTGGGAAAATGCAGATGCCCAGGGGACCTATTCTGCCCTGATCCACCCATTCAGTGGGAGTTATGTGCCATCACAGACCTGCTGAAAGCAGGAGTAGCTGCACCCTGGCAAAGAAAACAGCCCCTCATAAAATCATAGAATAGTTAGGGTTGGAAAGGACCTTAAGATCATCAAGTTCCAACCCCCCTGCCATGTAGTGAGCCTAACAGATGGGTTAATGCTGAGTATTTCCTACAACAAAGATTGTAACTTCAGAACTACCAAACACTAAGAAAATGTTAGGAAGCTTGTAACATTTATGTAAACAAACTTTGGTTACTCTGGAACCATTTTGTTTGCAAAATTAAATGCTGATTGCAGAGTAGATGAAATGCAATAAATGAAGAATTAATAATTTCAAGACTATTTATAAACCTTTGGATCTGCTTGCAAATGCAACCATCTGTGTGTTGCTCTAGGCCATGTTTTATTTAAACAAAAATCCATTTGAGAGGATTAGTAGTAGGAACAGCAATAAAATGAAGTATGCTGCCCAGGTTAGCACAGCTGCAGGTACACATTTGGCTTGCATGAAGGACTTTACATGCTGTGTGAGAGGAGTAGCTCTACTGGACATAAGTACAACTACTTAAGTAACTAGTCAAAGGAAAACTTAGGTGGCTTCAGACAAACACAGGTACTGCTGGACTTTCCATTTGAAACTACACCCCATTAACTTCAACTGTAAAGCTAGGCAGGGCCAGCAGTGACACTTCTCTGCTTCCTTTCAAGGTCAGGGGAGATTAGATGGAGCACTGTGCTCTTTTTCCAGTGAAAAAAAGTTAGAGTACTTAAAAAGAGCTTACAATGCCGGCGTGAGGAACATCGAAATGGAGTCCACAGCATTCGCTGCCCTGTGCGGGCTGTGTGGCCTAAAAGGTGAGTGCTTCTGCATCCTTCCCTGCGTTCCACAGCTTAACCCAACCTGAGGGTTTGGTTTGGTGCAAGATTCAGACAACCCAAGGGCCAAAACCACATTCCTAACTATTTTAACTTGAAACATACGCTAGAACAAATTTCTTGAGTCAATAAAAAACAAGTTTGTTTTAGAAGACCTGAGTGCATGTTGGACAAAACAAAACTTAATCCTCCCTCCTCCCTTTCCTGGCCTTAAAACAAGCCCTGGTTACACAGGCCTAGCTGCCTTCCCTTGTTTTGCTGGAAAAGAAAGAGGGTGAATGGAGGGCACCCAGGGAGTGGTGCTGCAGCCAGCAGCTACCCAGGGACCCTGCTGCTTCAGCCCTTCCAGTGTGGCCGGGTGCATTCCACAGTAAGCTCTGGGGAGGGCAGCAGTAGCAGGGCATCTGCAACCCACAGGGCAGTGTTCTAAGGCAAAGGGTGCTCATAATCAGGCGTGAGGTAACGCAGTGCTTCGGCCATCCTGCAGCTGCTGTCGTTTGTGTGGCACTCCTGGATCGCCTGGAGGGGGATCAGATCCGGGCACCCCATGAGGTGCTGTGGGAGTACCAGCAGCGGCCCCAGCGCTTGATAGCAGCCTTCATCCGAAAGCAGCTGGGGCTGTGCCCTCCAGCAGGAACAAGCTTTTCTCCACAAACTGATGGGTGATGCAGCACAAGCAGTGCAGGCTTGCTCCCCCATGCCAGGCACACCACAGCCCCTTTTTCTGCAAAATTGAAAAGACTGACTTGGTCACAATGCACTTCCATGGATAAGTGCCCTCCACGGCTGAGTGGGGGAGCTGGATCCAGTGAACATCACCCTGCAGGAGCTGGAGACCTCCAATGTGGCTTGAATTACACCAACAACCTGCTCACCCAAGGACAGCTCCAGACAATATTTGTACAGAAATTAAGACTGTTTTACCAAACCGCATGCTCCTCAGTCCCATCTCCAGTGGTCATAAAGGACTGCCCTGTTAGGGTCAGTCCTGTCCACAGCTATCCTCTGAGAAGGAGTTCCCTCTGCATTTGGCATAAAGCGAAAACCTAAGTAAATGACACATAAAATTGATCCGCATTTGTGATTATTATTATTCATTAAGGATCTATCAAAAACTGACGTGTACAAGGGCATTTGAAGATAAGAGAGAGAGTGTGGGAAGCCCACTTTGCACAGACTGTCTCCAGGCAAAAGCAGACTGTTCCCAAGACTGCACGGCTGGCAGCTTTGGGTGGGGGGCGCATAGAGACCCTTGAGATGAAAAGGGATAGGAAGCACAGGTTACTGATACATCCTTCACCAGATTTCACCTGAGTGCCAGGGACTGCATCTTTCACGTTCATCTGCTAATCAACACACTCCAACAGTGCAGAAACTCATCTGTAAGTGTCCCCACGAGCTGTGCCTGAGTTGCACAGAGGGTTTTTTCCAGAGGTCACCTACAGCCTGAAGAATTTCCCACTAAAATCACAAAATCACTTCCAGTTCTTAAGTTTCAGTAACAAGCTTGCTTCCAGTTCTGCTAAGTCCAAAGTCTGCTTAAGAAACTTCTATACTAATAGCAATGTACCTTATGTCTGTTGTGAAAATAATTTAAAACCACTCCAGGAAAAGAAATATGATACTTTAACATTTTGCCTAATTTGATAGGTAATGTTTGTTCTGCCCTAGCTTACAGAAACACAGATCCAGTCATTAACTTTGCAGGAGGTGAAGGCTCTCTATTTTCTAGAACAATGTGCAGCAAAGAGTCTCTCGTTTTACTTACTTTGCTCTTAGCTTAATGATTATGCTGTGAAATGTTTTTTCTGCTGGACATTCTAAGTTTGACACCTTTTAGGGCTTTCAGATGAGTCACTAGTTTACACAGCTCAGAATGCATGTCCTTGGTGAGCTCCTTTTCAAAATACTAACCATTATTGCAGGGCCCTCTCTATTCTTGGGGGGTCAGAATTGGCATCTCAATCAGTTACGTTCTTCTTTTTCTACAGATACATATATGTGCATATAAGCTTACATGCACATAAGCTGGCACAAACTTGAAGTGTTTTGTAATGGCCAGATACCATACCAATTGATCTTGCACAAGTTGGGTGCTCAACTTTCAGGCACTATTTAACATTTCAGCCAATTTTATGCCTACCAAAATTCACAAATAAGTAGTATGCCTTGAAACCGAGCCACCTCATTTTCACAAATAAGATTTTCTCAGGCTTTAAAAACTCAGATTGTTAGTAAAACTGCATACACTTTATCCATTGGCATAAAGGATAGCTGAATTCTGAACTGTTACCCTCAGCAAGTCAAAACCAACAAAGTAGAGATGCAAAAGATGCTGGTTCAGAAGTCCATTTCCCATTAACATTTTTCAAATCACTATTTTTATGTGCAAGTAATTTCACACATCTTTGTACAGAAATAACTTTCAATTTTATTCTTTTTTAATAGCATTTATCCTGAAAACAAACATCCTTATAAGCATCTCCATTTCCTGAAGGGCTTTCATCATCTTTTGTGAACAGTGCTAAGGCGAGGACGACAAAGTAAGGCAAAACAACCACCTCCTTCCACAGGAGCACAGGAGAGAGGCACTTGGCCAGGCTAGGGAGAATGGCTGAGGCATTCTGCAGGAAAAGCTTCTAGGTGTGCTGAGCAAAATATTTGAAGCCAGTTTCACTGACCTGCTTGTTTTCCACACACTACTGTTATATGAAAATCCCTCTAAAAATCTTCATTCCAGCCTCATCATATCAATAACAAGCCCCAGCTCCTGGCTGCAGTGAGCTGGCACAGACTCACAGATGTAAGCAGGTTTCTACTCAGTCTATTCCTGAGAAAAAACAGACAATCACAAGAGAGTGCCTAAAAATCAGTGCCCTTTATTTGAAAACATGCCTGCTTCATTTGAACTTTCTTTTTTCATAAATGTCTTGGTATTTATAAAAGATGACAACTATGATCTGAAAAGATTTTGTACCACTGAAATTATCTTGCAGATCTGTTTTTAAAGGCAAGTTAAAAAAAAATAAAATCAGTTGCCTTAAGTTTGGAATCTTCTGTTCTGAGAAAGCAGTCTAGCAGCCAATCTGGCCTCTAAATAGAAGAAAAGCAGTGCTGGTCTCCCTGCAGGAGCATCCAACAAGTTGTGAAGATGGCCAAGTATGTTTTAAGAATGAGTTACCCCAAATGGTATACCAAAATAAAATGCACAAATACACACAAAATAGTAATCCTAGCACAAACGTGCAAAATTACATTCAGAAGACACACAGCTCCCACGGCTTCAGCATTTTCTTCCTGCATTAAAATAACATGGCTAAAATACTCAGATTACGTTGCTCCTGTTCTTAAATTTGCTTGCACTCAGGAGTCTGTCGCATGAGCTCTTCCCCTGCCTTCCTGGCACCCTTCTTACAGTCTCCGTCTGCTCTGACTTTGCACCCTTGCACACTTGTGCTGGAGCAAACCTCCCTCCCCCAGGTGCTGAGACACCTGCTGAGACCAGGCTCACTCTGCAAGATTTTGCCAATGTTACTAACAGTTTGAGTGTGAAAACTCAACATTGCTTGTCTCTGATTACAAAACATTTGGTGTAGAGTCACCAAATATGTCAAGAGAAGAGGGACTGTTGTCTGTGCCAGGGAAGGAGGTGCTATATGGTGGCTAGCAGCAAAACCACTCTTGGTGTTTGCACCATGGACTCCGCTGGGAGAGCACAGACTGGGCTCTCAGCTGCCCTGATCCTCAGTATCTCACTGTGACAGTCACTGTGTTTCACAAGGTGTTGGAGGTATGTGATCTGTTAATGCCTATAAGCCATTACAATATTACATTAATGAAGTACCTGTAATTATGCAGATACACAATGTTCAGATCTCTCTGAAATGTTTGGTTAAACTGCTAATTATAACTTGTTTACATACATTTTACACTTATGTAAGACTGGAAAACATAGTTACAAAGTGGAATGACATTAATTTCCCTTTCATTTAAATAAAACCTTAATCAGTAGTTTCTGCTCCAAAATAAAGATCCCTGATCTGAAATGTTATTTATAATTTATACTGAAAGACTAATCTGCAACATGAAATTGCATGACTGGCTTACAGTAAATATGATGCAGCAAATTTGTTTCTAAATATAGATGAAGGTTAAGTTTCTTTTTATAATAATCAAAGAATAATAAAAACATTCATTAAAATAATCAAATTCTTAAGAAACCCGCAATGAAAGTTGTGGGGTATATTCATGTGTCACAATTTTAAGTGGCTGTTCTGCAAATGTGTTTTGGATTTATGCTGCCAAGTAAAAAACAGAGTTCCTATTCAAGATGCTATATATCAGACTGGCCTGTAATGTCTTTAGGAGATAGGACAGGTGTCCTATCTCCCAGTAGAAAGGGACATGGGAAATTACACCGCAACAGGCTACACCCACCAAAACTCTGTTCAGCCTTTACCAAGGCAGGTGTAAAATGGGGTAGCCCTGCATGAGAAACGCATATTGTTTTTTAGAATCACAGTATCACAGTATCACAGTATGTTAGAGATTGGAAGGGACCTCAAAAGATCATCTAGTCCAATCCCCCTGCCGGAGCAGGAACACCTAGATAAGGTTACACAGGAACGTGTCCAGGTGGGTTTTGAATGTCTCCAAACAAGGAGATTCCACAACCTCCCTCCACAACCTCCCTGGGCAGCCTGTTCCAGTGTTCCGTCACCCTCACTGAGAAGAAGTTTCTGAATGATTGCACACACTGAGAACTATGTAGTTCTATGGCACAGACTAAGGAAAATTTATTTAAAGTTTTCACATTATAGGCCAGAGAATACCCCTGAAGCTTCTCTACTTCTGATACGAGAGCTGCTCACATTTAAAAGCTGTAGATTCCATATCTCTTCTTGGAAGCTTCAGTGGAGGAATTTTTGGTAAAATCTCTTTTGCATAAAGTGTTTTATGAAGACCAGCTTCTCGAAGAGCTAGCTCAACACGAAGTCTAGGGTCAGAAATGATCTGTTAATATAAACCACACAATGATAAATAGAAACAAACCAATACCTTCCTCACAAACAGTGTCTCTCACAGGTTATCTGTAAATGTATATATTTTAAAAGCTTTAAGAGACAGAAAATTACGCTCAGAAAATAAAGCCTTCAAAAGCAGAGAAACTCTACAGTAAACAAGTCTTACCTCACTGCACATATCTTGATATTATCCTTTTTAATATTAGTGATCACAAACTATTTTAACAGCCCTGGTTGTCATTCCTCAGCAAAACTGAAAGGGTAGCTGAGAAACCAAGTGATGTTTAGTTCAGCCTGCTCAGTGAAGAGTTGCTTACTCCTCTAATGCTCCCCGCCAATACAGCCCTGCTTTCAGCACAACACTTCTAATCCCTTCCTGTTTGTTTCTACGGCATCCAAGTGCTTCAAACATGTTTCTGATTTTTCTCACAGCATTGTCTGTGACTACATAGCAGTAACACTTCCATATTACATCAAAGAACAATTAATGCCTAAGGAAATTACTTCTAAATCTTGTCAACAGGTTATTTGGCAAAATTGTAAGCCTCTCTCAAATCCTTCTTCCATGGGCTGTAGTGGGAGAGCACTGAAAGTACAAGAGAACGTGTGACATTGCCTTCAGCGCTAGCATCTACTACCACAAAGCCCAGAGCTGCTGGGAAGCCCAGCAGTGGGAAACACTATTCACAGCCACAGCAGCTCCGGGATGGAGCACACCAGTGTGATTGGCAGGAGACATACTGTAGTTCAAGCAGTACCAAATCCCATTTTGAGTGGAAACAGGAAGAATATTCTGAGAATTCAGATATCAATCCCAAATACACATGTTTAGAACATTTTTAAGCTAAGGCTTTTCAGAACCTCCTACATAGATCAGATTTGGGTAAATTTTACTAGCCAAAACACCCTCATATCTCTTGTGCCATGTCTCTCTTTTATCAAACTGAGAAGATTTAAAAGTTCTGGACAAGCTTAGTTATAGACATCATTAAATTTCAGCTTATTCAATGCTAAAAGAAAGCTTTTATGCTCCAGAATTATATCATAGCACTTCTTTTCCTGTAAATGTAATTTTCAAATTCAGAGTGGGAATAATTTCAAATGTATAGACTGAGCAGATGGGGAACAGTGAAGGAATAAAAAAAATCCTCCCCATGTTACTAATTCCACTTGGAATTATGCTACCACTGTCCTCAGCAGTACGAGTGACCTGAAAATGGGAATACAGTTGCTCCAGTTTCCTGCTTCTTTTCCACCTCACCAGTTTCTTCTCCTTTAGCCCTTGCATATCACATTCCAGCTAATCCTCAGTCTAGCAACACTGTAAGATAGTCAAAATACTAATTTTCACCTTATGAAAAGACTTGTGCTGTGCATAATCTTCCAAGAAAAAAGAATGCCCCATAATAAAGTTACCTGTAACACAGCTGTTTTGCATACATTCAGGAAAACTTGCTGAGTCAATTCACTTCAAATACTTTGTACTAACTTGAGCAGGGGAAAAGGAGGCATTCTTTAAATAAATGCATAAAAATGTAAAAGGAGTAAGTTTTGAAACAAAAAAATAGCAAACAGCTCAGTCAAAATGCCCATCAAACACAGCAACTGCGCAGTGGTCTATTGAGCACAGCATCCTTTGTTGTAACGGTGGCAGTGGGGGATGCTGTTCAGGGAGACCCCATGACTCCTATGATGGACCTGAACACACCTTTATGGTCACTGTCATTGATCCTCCAGCA